CGCGCTACCACGCCCGGCTAATTTTTAATTTATTGTAGAGATGAGGTCTCGCCAAGTTGCCTAGGCGGGTCTTGAACCCACGGGCTCAGGCAATCCACTCACCTCAGCCTCCCAAATATGTGGGATTACAGGCTGAGCCACTGAGCCCGGCTCCTGTCCCCTTTATTTAGCAGCTGTCATGCTTCCCTTTTCACCAGCTTCCTTGTGTATGAGATAGCAGCAGAGATGATGAACCACTTTGTAAAAGCAGGAGTGCCACTTCAGTGCCATCAACTAGGCTTTCTCCTTGTTTTTCCAGCAACATATGAAAGTAAAGAGCCTGGAAGATGCAGAAAAGAATCCCAAAGCTATTGACACATGGATTGAGAGCATCTCTGAGTTACACCGTTCCAAGCCTCCTGCGACTGTACACTACACTAGGTAAGAGAAACCATGTTCTTTACAACAGTAACTCATATAACCTTTACCACTTGTGAAGCATTGCTCCTGAGAAGAGGCTCCTGAGAAGGGTGGGGACATATTTGATCTACCTGAGCTCCTGTGGATCCTGGCAGCTACTAGCTCAGGTTATAGACACAAAGATTGCAGTTTCTCTGGTATCCTGACTTAGCTAGCTCCTTCAAACATCAGGCCCTGGGTACGTTTGGTTTGCCTGGTCTAGGTTCTCCTGAGCTCCTCGTGTGCCAGGATGAGAACCTCTCCTTCATCCTAGGATATCTTGATCCAGAGGTTGTTAAAGTCCAAGTTTTTTGTTCATATTTACCTCTATACTTCCAGGCCCATGCCTGACATTGACATGCTGATGCAGGAATGGTCCCCAGAGTTTGAAGAGCTTTTGGGCAAGGTGAGTGGAAGAGAGTAGGAGTTAGGAAAGTGGCATTCACTTGAGGGCCTACTCTCTTCTGAGGGTTTTTCTCTTCCCGTATCATCTTCATCATCATTATTAATATTAGCTTTTTGGTGGCAACACGTAAAACCCATGTACATGTAAGAATATGTGTGTGTCAGATATATGCATCTGTAAGTACATAAGAAAAGTAGTTTTTTTAAATGATTGAAGATAGAATGAGGTTGCAGAGAGACAATTGACTATCTATTTGAAAAAAATTAAATTAGGTTTCTTTTTTTTTTTTTAGTTGGAGTCTCACTCTGTCGCCCAGACTGGAGTGCAGTGGCCACTTCCGGCCACCACAGCCTCAACCTGCTGGGCTCTGGCGATTCTTCCGCCTCAGCCTTCCAAGTAGCTGGAACTACAGGCATGCGCTACCATGCCCGGCTAATTTTTGATTTATTGCAGAGATGAGGTCTTGCCAAGTTGCCCAGGCAGGTCTCGAACCCGCGGGCTCAGGCAATCCACTCACCTCAGCCTCCCAAAGGTGTGGGATTACAGGCTGAGCCACCGAGCCCGGCTTAAATTAGGTTTATGCCTCAACCATATACATATGTGAGTGCCAAAGGAATTAAAAGTTAATGTAAAAATAAAGCTATACAAGTACTGTAAGAAAACATAGAAGAAATTTAATACTATTAGGATGGTTAGGTATTTCTCAGAATAAGAAACAAAAGTCATAATGTGACAGTCTAGACTCATAGAAATAAAAGGTTCTAAGTTACCTAAACAAAATTGCAAGACAGTGACAGTCTGAGAAAAATATGTGTGTGTGTATGTGTGTGTGTGTATAACAAAATTCCTATTCCAAGCAAAGAGGTCTTATATATCAACAGGAAAAGAAAACTGAGCAAAGATAATTGACAGGTCCTTCCCGGCCATCATATTTAAAATTGCAACTCCAGCTTCCTGGCATTCTCCACCCTCATTTTCTGCTATTTTTTCATGACCCTTAGTATACTATAGACCTTACTTATTTTGTTTCTTCCTACTAAAGTGTAAGCTCTATGAAGACAGAGCCTTTTTTGCACATGTGTATTACAGAATTGATTGTCAACACAAAAAATTTGGAAATGGTCTCTTTTCTCACAGCATTTTAAAGCTGTAGTTAAGCAAAAATGTCTGATTAAGGGATTGGTTAGTTAGATTGTGGTGCATCCATTCAGTGAAATATTATGCAGTGGAATATTATTTTGCTCTAATATGAAGAAATAGCAGTGATATGTTGTTAAATGAAAAAGCAGATTGGCCAACCGCAGTGGCTCAGCCTGTAATCCCAACACTTTGGGAGGCTGAGGTGAGTGGATTGCCTGAGCCTGTGGGTTCGACACCAGCCCGGGCAAATTGGTAAGACCTCATCTCTACAATAAATCAAAAATTAGCTGGGTGTGGTAGTGTGCACCTGTAGTTCTGGCTACTTGGAAGGGTGAGACAGAAGGATCGTTGGAGCCCAGCAGGTTGATGCTGGAGTGGCTGTGAGTGTGCTATTGCACTCCAGCCTGGGTGATGGAGTGAGACTCTAACTCAAAAAAAAAAAAGAAGAAGAAAGCAAATTGCAGACTATATGTCCTCCATTTTTTGTAAAAAGAAAAAAGTTTTAGGAATAATTTTTTTTTCTTTTTGATTCAAGAGGTACACATGCATGTTCATTACATGGGGACATATTGTGTAGTGGTGGGGGTTGGGTCCCAGGTGGCCCATTCCCCAGATAGTGAATATTGAACCCAATAGGTAATTTCTGAACTCTAACCCCTCCCCCCTTATTGGTGTCCCCACTTCTATTATTTCCATCTTTTTTTTTTTTTTATTTTGAGTTGGAGTCTCATTCTGTCGCCCAGACTGGAGTGCAGTGGCCACTCCCGGCCACCGCAGCCTCGACCTGCTGGGTGCCGGCGATCCTTCTGCCTCAGCCTTCCAAGTAGCTGGAACTAGAGGCGCGTGCTACCACGTCCGGCTAATTTTTGATTTACTGTAGAGATGAGATCTCGCCAAGTTGCCTAGGCAGGTCTCGAACCGCAGGCTCAGGCAATTCACTCACCTTGGCCTTCCAAAGCACAGGATTACAGGCTGAGCCACCGAGCCCGGCTTATTATTTCCATCTTTGCAGCCATTTAGCTCCCGCGTATAAGTGAGAACACACAGGGTTTGATTTTCTGTTTCTGAGTTAGTTCACTCAGGATGATGATCTCCAGCTCCATCCATGTTGCTGCAAAGGACATGATTTCATTCTTTTTTATGAGAGAGGACAGTAGTTTTTAAACTTACAATATGACTTGTTTAGATCCGGAGCCTGTCATCTGAGTGAGATGCCATGTCCATTTTCTCTGTTCCTATGGTGTCCTGTGACCCTTAGGCATTACAACACCAAGAACTATATAAGTACTTGGCCATACCTGGGACCAGTTTCTTCTTCACAGAGTCATACAGGAAGACAGCATAGCAGTATATTTTACTCGTCAAGTCTCTTTTATCTTACTGACTGGGGCAGGGAAAAGCATGTTTATCAGTTTGCTAGGGTTGCCATAACAACATACCACAGACTGGGTGACAATGTACCACAGACTGGAAAATTTATTTCCTCACGATTCTGGAGGCAAGATCAAGTTGTCAGCAGAATTAATTTCTTCTGAGGCCTCTCTCCTTGCCACACTCCTTCTGTGTCTTCACCTGGTCTTCCCTATTTCCTCTTCTTGTAAGGACACTTGTCATATTGGATTAGGACCCATCTAATAACTTCATTTTAACTTAATTATCTCCTTAAAAGCTCTATTTCCAGCTGGGTACGATGACTCACACCTGTAATCCTAGTACTTTGGGAGACCAAAGCAGGAAGATTGCTTGATCCCAGGAATTCAAGACTAGCCTAGGCAATGTAGAGACCTGGTCTCTACCAAAAAAATTTTAAAAATTAGCTGGTTGTGGTGTGCACACCTGTGGTCCCAGCTACTCAGGAGGCTGAGGTGGAAGGATTGCCTGAGCCCAGGAGATTGAGGCTGCTGTAAGCCGTGATCACACCACTGCACTCCAGCCTGAGTGACAGAGTGAGACCCCCGACTTAAAAAAACAACAAAAGCCGGGCTCGGTGGCTCAGCCTGTAATCCCGCGCCTTTGGGAGGCTGAGGTGAGTGGATTGCCTGGGCCCGTGGGTTCGAGACCCGCCTGTGCAGCGAGACCTCATCTCTACAATAAATCAAAAAATCAGCCAGGCGTGGTAGCGCGTGCCCGTGATTTCGGCTACTGGGAAGGCTGAGGCGGAAGGATCGCCAGAGCCCAGCAGGTCGAGGCTGCGGTGGCTGGGAGCGGCCACTGCACTCCAGTCTGGGTGACCCAGTGAGACTCCAACTCCAAAAAAAACAACAACAACAACAACCAAAAAAAACCTCTATCTCCAAATGCAGTCACATTCTGAATTACAGAGGGTTAGGAACTCAGTTACCAACTTCAGGGAAACACAATTCAGCCTGTAACATGTACTAAAGGATATACTAGAAGCTCTTATCCTTTAGAGAGAAAGAGTAGTCGGTGGTGGGACACTGAAGCAGCCTTTTGACTTTGGTCTGTCCCATGCCCCTTCCAGGTGAGCCTGCCCACGGCGGAGATTGATTGCAGCCTGGCAGAATATATTGACATGATCTGTGGTAAGCTCCTCTTTCCTTATCCTCGTCTCTGGATAGATGTACTCCGGGCTTTTGAAAAGGCTTGTTTACTCTGGGAAGATAGCACCTGAATTTCAGCCTTCACTTTAAGCCAGTTGTGCTGTTATCAGCATTCATGGCTGGTGTTTGGGCTTATGTGACTACTTGCTGGGTATTTAACCCCCCGTAGTTATGGTAACGCATCCCATCTGGGAGGGACTTGACTATCCTAAACAGAAATGCCCCAGAATTCTCAGAGGTTGTTGGTTCTGTACCTGGGATCTCTTCTTCATTTCAGCCATCCTGGACATCCCTGTCTACAAGAGTCGGATCCAGTCCCTCCACCTGCTCTTTTCCCTCTACTCAGAGTTCAAGAACTCACAGGTGAGACAAGCAGCGGGTTGACAAGCTATAGTTGGACTCCTGCAGTCTCCACTAGTCTGAGCCTGCTGTGATTGTATCCTGTGGCAGAATAGTATGTTTCTGCCCGCAGTAACTCTGCCCCTCCTCATAATTAAGAGGCAGAAGGGAGGCAAGGATGGGAAAGTAGGAGATGTGGGCCTGGTGCGGACATGCAGAAGATGCTCGTGATTTCAGGAGAGCCAAGTGGCCTCACGAATTCAGGAAGGAGGTAAAGGAGGGTTCACTTTCGAAAGAGTAGAGCACATTGCTAGCTGGCTGTCAAATACAGCACCGAGGAATTGTTTTCAAAGGAGAATTGGGGGGAAATTGGAGCTTGAAGGGTTTTAAATTCTTGCTCAGAAGTCACATCTAGCACATCCCAATCCCCAACTCTCCCCCTTCTCTTTCCTCGCAGCATTTTAAAGCTCTCGCTGAAGGCAAGAAAGCTTTCACCCCTCCATCCAACTCTGCCTCCCAGGCTGGAGACGCAGAGACATTGATCTTCCACTGAGACACCTCTCAAGTGCTGTGTCAAGGCTGAGCTGGCTTCCCTACCCTAGCCGAGACGGAGAGATTGTTATCAGCCACCTGGTGTTTGCCTGGGCCACAGCGTGTCTCAAGGGCAGCGCGTGTCCTGCGATCCTCTCTGCCAGAAAGCACTGCACATGTTGGTTAAACAGCCCTGCCCATTTGCCTTCTAGGAGTTATACATCTACACCACTGTGGGGACTTGAGTTAGCACAACTGGAATTGCTGAGCACCCTTGCTTGGGTTGGGAAGAAAGCTTTAAAAATGTCCTTTTTAGGAGATAGATGGAATTATTTTCTTTCTCTTAAAGTTGGTGGACAAGGATTTTACAAATAAAATGTTCCATTGTCAGATTCTCCTGCTGTTGTATAATATGGAAGAGAAAAGGCAGAGCATGAGGCAGAGAAGTGGCACCTGGCCTAGTAGTGTGCAACAGGTGAGGCGCAGTCGAGGCAAACCAGCCCTGAGAAATAAGATCAGGCCAGGCGTGGTGGCTCATGCCTGTAATCCCAGCACTTTGGGAGACTGAGGTGAGAGGATTGCCTGAGTCCAGAGGTTCAAGATCAGCCTGGGCAATTTGGTGAGACCTTGTCTCTACAATAAATATTAAAAAAAAAAACTAGCTGGCCATGGTGGTGCATGCCTGTAGTTCCAGTTACTTGGAAGGCTGAGGCTGAAGGATTGCCTGAGCCCAGCAGATTGAGGTTGTGGTGGCCATGAGTGTGCTGCTGCACTCCAGCCCAGGTGACACAGTGATATTCCGACTCAAAAAAAAAAAAAGAAAGATCAAACCCCAGTCCTCCAAGATTGGTAGTCGAGGGGACTCAGTTTTCTCCTGGAATTTAATTTCTGGGGGTGGGGAGTCTCCAGCTGATGCTGCCTTCCTTACGGGATCCCTGACTGTCTAGCTCCAGACCTGTCTGCTTGTGGTCTCAGGGAGCCCACCTAGTGCAGTAATCCAGGGGAGAGATGATGGGGCTGGGAGTAGGAGAGATGGGCAGGCGCAGAACGTATTTTGGAGTTGGGTCAGCCAAGAGCCAGTGAGGCAATCTGAAACCATTCTAGTTATTTCTAACAAAGGGTGTTTAATGTGGGGAATTGGGCACAAAAGTGTTGGAAAGGCGCAAAAGGGAGAACGGAGGCTACCGAGGAACATGTAGGTCAAAGGGGTGTAGTCACCGCGGTGCTGGCCGCAGAAGTGCGCGCGGCCAGGTCTCCGGCGACTAAGGAGGCACCATTCCCCGCACTGCTGAAGACCGCGCCCTCTTTGCCATCTTATCTCCTGCCAGTGCCCCGTACCGGCAAGCACGAGCAGCTGCAGGGAATCTGGAAAACCCATGTCGGAGCGCAAGGTGGAGCCTAGAGACCAGATACATAAATCAGCAGAGGGAGAACCAGCAGAGCCTGGGGAGATTCAGTGCGGATGGGGGGAAAGAAGTCGAGGATGACTCCATTGTTTTTGGTTTGAGCAACGAAATGGGTCATGGAGCCAAATGCTGATATTGGGGAAGGTGAGGCAAAAATTGACGGGAGGGGACGATTTCCCCCTCAAACACTGCACTGTCAGGTTGGTACATACACAGTACACATCGGCAGGAGAGGAGCTGTTTCTTGCAAACTCTTAAACCATCTGTGATCACATCATGCTTGAGTGTTTTGTTTTTTGAGTCAGAGTCTCACTCTACTGCCCAGGTTGGAGTGCAGTGGCACGCTCACGGCCACCGCAGCCTCAACCTACTGGGTACAGGCAATCCTTCTGCCTCAGCTATCTAAGTAACTGGAACTACAGGCGTGCACACCACACCTGACTAACTTTTTGATTTATTGTAGAGATGAGGTCTTGCCATGTTGCCCAGACTGGTCTCAAACCCCTGGGCTCAGGGAGTCCTCTCGCCTTCACCTCCCAAAGTGCTGGGATTACAGGTGTGAGCCACTGTATCCGACTTGTTTTTTTTTTTTTAATTTTTTTATTTTAATGGGTTAGGTGTACAAATGTTCATTATGCAGGTACCCTTGTTGATGAGGTGTGCCCCTCCCTCCCCTGGCAGTTTCCCTCAACTGCAAATCCCCCCCCCCGGCAGTTTCTCACTACTGCCAATCCCCTTCTCATAGCGTTATGATAATTGTTTAAGGTCCACTTATGAGTGAGACCTTAAACATCTGGTACTCTGTTCTTTGTTTCATAGATCACTGAGTGTGATAGACTCTAAATCCATCCAAGTTGCTGCAAAGTCTGTATGTTTGTCCTTCTTTATGACTGCATACTATTCCATTGTATATATGTATCACTTTTTTTTTTTAATCCTGTCCAGCTTCAAAGGGCAGCGTGGTTGGTCCCATGTTTTTGCTATTGTGAACAGAGCTGCAACAAACATGTGTGTGCAGGTATTTTTTGTTTGTTTTGAATCAGAGTCTCACTCTACCCCCCAGACTAGAGTGTATTAGCACACTCATGTTTACTACAGCCTTGACCTGCTGGGCTCAGGCTATCCTTCCACCTCAGCTTCCCGAATAGCTGAAACTACAGGCATGTGCCACCATGCCCAGCTAATTCTCTTATTTATTGTAGAGACAAGGGCTTGCCATGTTGCTCAGGCTGGTCTTGAACCCATGGACTCAGGCAATCCTCTTGCCTCTTCCTCCCAAAATGCTAGGATTATAGGCATGAACCACTTTGTCTGGTACATCAGGCTTGATTTTTTGTTGTTGTTGAGTCGGAGTCTCACTCTGTTGCCCAGGCTGGAGTGCAGTGGCATGCTCACAGCCACCGCAACCTCCACCTGGTAGACTCAGGCGATCCTTCCACCTCAGCCTTTCAAGTAGCTGGTACTATAGGCATGCACTACCACACTCGGCTTATTTTTTTATTTATTGTAGAGATAAGGTCTCACCAAGTTGCCTGGGCTGGACTCGAACTCTCAGGCTCAGTAAATCCTCTCGTCTCAGCCTCCCAAAGTGCTGGGATTACAGGCTGAGCCACCGAGCCCGGCCAACTGGGCCTTTCAGCATCTCTTCTTCCCCTGGAACAGCCACCATAGTTCTCCAGGGATTATCTTCAAATGGTTTTCATCAGGGTTCCTCTCGCCTCTTCAGTGGTCTCTAGTTGAGAGGACAGAACATGGATTCAATATACCCAGTGAGTAGCCATTTTTAACATTGCCTAAATTTCATGTTTTTCTAGCAGTTAACTTACCCTCTAATCACTAGCCAAGGGCATAACCAGTTTCTCAGAGGTAGCTATTGATAATTGTTTTACCCCCCTGCAGCTTGTTCTGTATTAATTAGCTCTTCTATTTCAAGTATTTGCCTCCACCTGTAAAACCCAAGCTAACCTAATCAGCCCTTTGTGACACAGACAGACCCCACCACCATGGCAGCAATCATGTGCCTAACCCACCCATCTGCCTGCAGTCCACCTGATGTCAATACCTGTGCATACATACGTACCCTCCATGATGACCTGGAGCAGACCACCACCCAATCAATCACCTTAACAACCTTCCCTTTGATAAGGGAAGGTTTAAAAAGATTCAACCCAGAGCAGCCATTTGCCATTGCTTTGCTAAGCCATGGTCTGACCATGTGGCACCTTGAACCATAGTTGCCATGTTTCCTAGTTTTGGCGTCCTCCCCTACCTGGGGAGGTGAGTCTCCTCTCTCTCTCTCTCTCTCTCTTTCTCTCTACTTTAGTTTTTAAATAAGCTATATTTTCCACTCTAACTTATGTGCAATTATTTGCCTCATTCACATGGCACTGGATCGCACACCAGACACCCACACCACTGGGATCTGACCTAATATCCTGGAGGCCCCACTGGCTGTGTGGCCTAATTCTAGTTATCCCCTTTTGACTACTTGCTCTGTAACCCTAGAAAAGTCAGTTAACTAAAAGACCTTAGTTAAGCCAGCTGTGAAAGAGTATACTAAACACACTTATCTCTTAGGCTTGTCCTGTGGCCAAAATAATGTGAAAAGATTAAGTGCCACAGAATGTAAGATATAATAATTATGTGACTAAGTTTAAATTTTCAGGTTGGGCACAGTGGCTCATGCCTGAAATCCAAGCACTTTTGGAGGCCAAGGTAGGAGAACACTTGACGCCATGAGTTCAAGACCAGCCTGGGGAACATAGCAAGATCCCCATTTCTAAAAAAAATCAATTGCAACTTGGCCCGTTAGACATTCCATTTGGCTAGTGTCTCTCTACCCCAAGATCTTCATTTTCTATAATTCCCCCATGGGAACTGCAAAACCAATTTGCTTGCCACGCTTTGCATATGACACATGAGTTCTCATTCTTTTTTTTTTTTTTTTTTTGAGTCTTACTCTAGCACCCAGGCTGGAATGCAGTGGCACACTCACAGCCACCCCAGCATTGACCTGCTGGGCTCTGACGATCCTTCCGCCTCAGCCTTCCAAGTAGGCAGAACTACAGATATGTGCAACCATACCCGGCTAATTTTTTTTTTTTTAATTGTAGAGACGAGGTCTCACCAAGTTGCCCGAGTTGGTCTGGAACCCATGGGCTCAGGCAATCCACTCGCTTTGGCCTTCCAGATTGCTGGGATTACAGCCTGAGCCATCAAGCCCGGCCAAGTTCTCTCTTCTAATGAAATCTTTATGGAGGTTATTTTCTTTGCTGAAAGTGTCCTCACCTTCTCTCTGATCCTAGGCTCTCAGCACTTGCAAATAAAATGTGAACACAAGTATTTACATCTTCCCTTCCTCCCTTAAGCCTACTAAAATAGGATTATAGGACTTTTTTAAAAGATACAGACCATTAATGACAGATGGTAAGGAAAAAATGATGGTAGACTAGAGAGCAATATAATTTTGGAAGATGGACAAGTAGTAACTGATTTAGAGGAACAAAACCCTAAAATCTGACTGCCTGTGGGAGAGAGGACCCAAGAGCCTATAAGAAGTAAGCCACCTGACACGGCAGAATGCTGGAAAGGGTCCAGAATGGAGTGCCACATATTTCTGATAGCAAATGAACAGGGTGGACTGAAAACAGGAGATTGGGTTGAAGGTTTGTCTGAATATACACCTGCCTCCTTACCCCAACAGAAAGATGCACACCTTTGAACCAAGGAAGCTTGGACATGAAAATCCCAAGCATTAGCTGGTCATGGTGGTGTGTGTCTGTAGTTCCAGCTACTTGGAAGACTGAGGTAGAAGGATTGCCTGAGCCCAGCAGGTTGAGGCTGTGGTGACTGTGAGCATGTGCCACTGCACTTCAGCTTGGGTGACAAGAGTGAGACTCCAACACAAAAAGAAAAGAAAAGAAAAGAAAGTCCTAAGCAACTCTGAGGACAGAAGTAAAGGGCCACA